TAGTATGCATAACATCGAGAAGTGAATAATAATAGATTATCTATTATTAATAATCGATTTAATAATCGATTATAATTCCTCCTGACAACATAGTTCCAGTGGCTGAACGGGGGCGGGGGCGTGCGGTGCAACCCCAATACCCCCTCTAGATCGCATTTTTTTCTGATGTGTACGTGCATGCGCGTGCGTATACGTTAGTATCGTTCGTAATGTAAGTACCCTTTATATTTTATGGTATTACTCGGTGAAACTAATAGAACAATTTGTAAGCGTTACATTTGGTTTCTATTATACGTTTTACACGCTGTCATAATTAATTGTGTTACCTAAGGGTATTTGATTACACGCACAAAAGTAGAACCTGGTAAACTATACAGCGAGCATAGCTGCATTACATATGTGTTTGGAAGATAGACGCGTTTCGGTTGTCATGCCATACGTATGGTGCCGAGATGGTACGGAATTTTTATTATTATTTGTAATTCATTTCATTCAGAATTCATTTTCCATTTCAAATTCATTTTCATTTCAAATTAATTTTCATTTCAGAATTCATTTTCATTTCAAATTCATTTTCATTCTAAATTTATTTTCATTTCATAATTCATTTTCAATTGCGCAAATTCATTTTCATTTCAAATTCATTTTCATTCCAAATTCATTTTCATTTTCAAATTCATTTGCCATTTCATAAATTCATTTCATTGCATATTCAATATATTGCATATTCCATTCATTCATGTGATTCCATATTATTCATTTCAAAATTCACTTTCATTTCAAAATTCATTTTCACTTCCAAATTCATTGGCGAGGCCGCAATCGCGGTGGCGAGGATGGCTACGGATATTGGTGGGGGGAAGTGACGTCACTTGTCCTTTAGTGGGACTCAACAAACCTTCAAACAAGAAGAATCGCATTGAAAATGTTTTAGTCTTGGTTATGATCGGTAGATAAGTAAGTTTTCTTATGTATTTTTCTTAATCGAAAAACACATTTTCCATTAATATACAAATATAGATAAATCATCTATAATGCAATTCTTGTGTAAATGTGTTTATTTTCATCTTAATTCCTATAAAGTTATGAGGCGTCTGGGCTCTCGTATCTACATACTCAAACCACAACTCATTACAATGGCGCGCGGCCATGTTGAGTAATTAAAGAACATGGATCGGAAACAACCAGAACCAACTCACACAAGAATACACTTAATAAATCAATTAACTAAAATCAAAAAGGAAATCGGCTATCAGTATTAAAAGTACGGATAAGTCGACTTATTTAACCAGCTGTAGGAAATTTCCCGCTGGCCTTACACGGATTAAATTTGTTGACTCCGGATTTGACGCGATGCGCAAGATCACGCCCAATGTTCGAACTATATTTCCCCAACCAATATCCGTAAGCCTGATCTCCGGCCCACCGCGATTGGCGCCTCGCCAAAGAGAATTGCGATAAATGAATGGAATAGGAAAATGAAATTTGAAATGTAAAATGAATTTGAATGAAAAATATTTGAAATGAAAATAAATTGAAATGAAATGAAGTTTGGAAGAAAATGAATTTTAACAACAATTTGAATGAAAGATGAATTTGCGAATTGAAAATGTAATTTTGAAATGAAAATGTGCGAATAAAATGAATTTGAATGAAAATGAAATTTGAATGAAATGAATTTGAAATGATAAATGAATTTGAATGAAAAATGAATTACAATATGGAGATAAAAAATCGCGGTAGCCATCTGCGCCACATACTATATGCTACAGAGACACGGATATAAATCACACGATATCTGTGTTTATCTACTATAGTAGTAGTGGTGTCTATTGGTATATCTAGCATGCTGATTACCAACTATTGCATGGGTCAAGCGCAAGCATCGCGTACTCGTTATCCGCAAGATCTCTAGATTCGTTCGATCTATGTCTGATTTTCGTCAGCAGATGTGGCTGCTGCTTTGGAGTCGGTGATCGAATTTCCTTGAAGACGTTGATTATTTACCGCTAATGCGGCGCACCACCCCGTAGGTTCTATCCAGACAGCTCTCTTGCAGAATGTTGCGTTTAAATCAAGCTGAAAGAATTCGTACACCTCTGCTGTCTGCTGTCTGTCTGTCTTGTTTATGTCTCGCCACTGTCATCGGCATCCTGTTCTCTCTCTCTCTTCTCATTCTGGCTCTCGTCTCTACTCTCTCATCTACTCTCTCTTCTCTTCTCTCTCTCTCTCTCTCTCTCTCTCTCTCATCGTTCCTCCTCCTCGCTCTCCTCTCTCTCTCCTCTCGTCTCACTCTCGTCTCCTCCTCTCCTGCCCTCCTCTCTCTACCCTCGTCTCTCTCTCTCTCTCTCTCTCTCTCTCTCTCTCTCTCTCGCGCGCGCGCTCTCTCTCTTTCTTTCTCAATCCTTTCTGTCTCTTTCTCCTTCTATATCTCCTTCTGTCTTTAACTCTTGTATCTTGCTATGCCTTTGTCTGTCTCTGTTTATGCGTCTGTATCTGTTCCTGTTCCTGTTCCTGTATCTATCTATATTTATATATCTGTTCTTGTTTCTATCTCTCTCCGTCTTTTTCTCTATCTCTATCATTGTATGTCTCTACGAGGCACAGATTGAGAGGTGTTAGCGGGGAAGATGGTGCTGCAGATGTGCACAGTAAGAAGGAGGGACGGCGAGAAGAACGAGCGGGGAATGTAAGCGGAAAGACGCGAGGGAATAAGGACGATGGAGGGAATAAGAAAATGGAAAGAGATGACTGCTAAATATGTGGAGAGACGGGTGGCGAGCGTGTGAGTGCGCGCGTGCGTATTTGTGCGCGCGTGCGCGTGTGTTTATGTGTATATTTGATGTGCCTGCGTGCCTGCGTGCGCTCGTTCGCGGTATGCGCTGTCGCTAGGTCTGGAGGTGAAGAGTACGCTGTACGTGCGAGGTCTGGCGATAGAAGCGAATATCCGGCTCAAATAATGCGAATCGTCGGTGCGAGCCAACGGCCTAGCGAAGAATCGATGTCGTGCGCTGATATATAGCGTAAACACCTGATTGGCAATAGCTATAGATTTTCAAACATGAGCGATGGAGCGTATATGCAACGTATATAGCGACTGCAAATGTGCGCGTGCCTGCGTGGGTGCGTGCATGCCCTAGCCGTCCGGGCTACAAGATCGGAACTTCTACAATCACATATGCGAAAAGTGGAGTTGACGGTTAATTTCTTCGTCTGACTATTTGGTTACCATCAAATGTCAACATGTAATACATTGTTGTAAGTGTAGTACGGTGTCTACGAACATATATTCCACGCTACATAAGCGTTTGTATCCTAGTTTCATGCCAATATGTCACCATTTATTACACGGTTGCCTGCATGCACATCGTGCTTTTACTCATTGCATTTTTAACTACCATAAGTATTTGCTTAAGGGGCATGTGCGCCGTCCCCATTAGCGTTATTGTAGGTTTTATGCGCAGTTCAGCGATGTGCACGTGTCATCAATCTGCCCAGTTTTCACTCAGTAACCTCTTTCTCGGATTTTTTATTGTTTCTTTGACGCGCTGAGACTCGCCATTCTTGGCAGTCTCACTGGTTACTTGCTTATTAAGTTTTCTTAACTCAGTTTATCTTTGCTCCCGTGTCTTCCTCTTTGCGTGTGCTGCTTGAGCCAAGTGCTTTTATGAAATGAATTGCCACAGACGACGTCGGTCGAAAATGGCTTCTATTGGAATTGGAGTCGCACGCGTCTTATCTCGGTCTACACGCACCCTCGCCGATTTAGCGGCAGTGCTTTGTAGCGTCGTCGACTCATCCACGCAATGAATCCTTCCTCAAAACCGCGTTTGTTTGCCGTGACGTTAGCGCCAGAGACGCAGAGAACCGGTACATGGATGGTTACTAGAAAGGAAAACAATTTATCTTTATTACTCGCGAAATAGTAATAATGACGTGAATCAGTGACCCTGACAAATAATCTATTCATAGTTTCAAGAGTAGATAATAACACACTACTCTACTCTTGATAGTTTCGCAAAACAGTAATTAAAAATGGGGGTAGAATATTTCGTCAACGAGTCTGATGTGGCCGGTTGTTAAGACAACGGCAATAGACACTATTTCTTACGGAAACAAACACTACTCATTAAGACACCATACACCATGTAGGGCACCACTGGATTCTATGGAAAGTTGCTCTATTATCTCTGTCTATTGCATATATGTATATGTATATATATATATATATATGCAACCGCGGAAATAAACGTATATTTGTCGCCATCATTGTAGAGATTCACGCAGAGCCCAGACTCGGGGCCTGATCCAGCACTTCCCCATCAATCTACATAAAATGTACTCAAGGTTATCCTAATTGCGGAATACTTCCCCGTCACGGCATTAATACATTAGTGCACGCTCAAAAATACTGCGAACGCGTTTGAAATATTTTTTCTCGGTTCGCTTCGTGTGTGAAGAGACGGGATAGGCGCGCGACTGTTTGGGTTTCTAATAAGGTATATGCTATTTAACGTCTGCCGTTAGGAGAGGAGAAATATACGCCACTAAATGTACGTGAATGGAATGTACAAATGCTTTTGGCTTTAAGTTCTCAGTTAAATCGAGATCCTACTTTTCCTACATACGCATTTATTGCCTAATAAATATTTTATACTAATTGCAAATCGGTACCTCTTAGTTTTAAAAATTAACGGCGACCATAATAGGTAAGATTATTTGTGCGTATTCTCACAGTATTCACACAAATTGCTCTAGTTTGGTACCAACTACGCCTTTCGCCAAATTTATATCTAAATTCAAAATAACCATATCATGCTCTTCTTTAATTTAGCGAGTTACGCTCTGGGACATTGCAGTGAGCTAGTCAGAACTGCTCATCGCATCACTATGATATTACTAATAATGTCTCAAACTGATATTTGCATCACTATACTGTCATGGTTGTATTCATATAGCGTTGGTTGGTGCTCATGTTATTATATCCATCTTTTTTGCAGATTCCAACAAGAAGTTGACCGATGTACTGGAGGAGTTTCAGGGAGATGGCGTTCTCTCTAAATACAACCCGGAGCAGGTAATTTTGCTCACTCCTGTCTACATTCTGTGTTATCTATACTTATGACAGACGGGTAATGAGCTAGCATATACTTATCTGTCCGTGAATCTCGGACACTCGTATACGTGTATCGATAATTGTATACAGGTATAGTAAACTGATATATATATATATATATATATATATATTGTTTAATATACTTTGTATATAATTGTAACCTTCAAATGTTATATCACGAGTTAAGTCATAGCGGTGATAACATGTGCGAGTCGAGTCGAACCATCTACACGGTGAAGTAAATGTGAAAAGATATTAAACTAGTTCGTCTTTGCTGGTTTTTGCATGTGACCCCTACGACTGTGTGGAACCGTGACGTGTCCAATATCGCGTTGTTTCCGCTGTGCACATTTGCACACAAGATCGTATTATGCGGACAGTATAATGAATAACTCTTCCTCATTCATTAAAAGCTATCATGTTTTTAATCCCATTGATGTATCCAATGTTGTAAGGTGTAGTAGGCCTATGCCTGTATCATGGCCACGTAGTATTTCTCAGTTTTGTCGTATCTTACTACCTATTTCTCATCGTTTAAATTACACGAATATCCTATCACCTAGCATCAATATGCTACACAGAATACCTATTCAATAGGAATGTTTCTATAGAGAGTACATAATAATTATGTACTCTTGTTTCTATGTATGTATGTATGTATGTATGTATGTATGTATGTATGTATGTATGTATGTATGTATGTATGTATGTATGTATGTATGTATGTATGTATGTGTAGTAGTAGTAGTAGTAGTAGTAGTAGTAGTAGTAGTAGTTGTAGTGGTAGTGGTAGTAGCAGTAGCAGTAGCGGGGATGGGTGATGCGACGCGCCACACCTACGAGCCAAGGTCCGGCCGATAATGACGAAAAACCGCTCGGATTGAAATGTCGCCGGGCGGTTTTCGGAAACGTATAAATAGGCACGGACGAAAAATCATAGGATGTTATTTACCCAGAGGAGAGACGTTAGTCGATCATTACCCAGGTCATATACGTGAGTTATTACATGGACTTTCCTATCAAGATGTAGCGGACGAAGACGAGACACGGGGCCTAGGCTTGGGTGCCTAGCTCGCCGTAGTGTATATATATTTGTATTGTGTTTACTAATAAAGTCAGTCTTCAAGAACAAATTCTGCGACTACATCAACTTTACTCCTTGCTGCAATCATCTAAGTATTACGTATCACGCTACGATGCTACGATGCCGGAGCGGAGATCAACAACTTTTTCCCCAGTGCAATAATAATTAATAGTTGTAGTAGGAGTCGTAGCAGTAGTCGTCGTCGTCTCGAGGCACACCTAGAACCCGGATGCTTTAGCCAGTGTAAGGACTCGGTCTGGGGATTTCTCCAGTTCCTCCAGCCAAACATCGACAGTGTCGAATAAGTCCATTTTTAATGCACTAAGTGTGGGGCAATTTATTAGCCAGTTCTGTACAGTTTTTGGCTCTTGTTCGCAGCGGGGACAGATGTCTGGCTCTGCTTCGTTAATTCTGTGTCTGCAGGCTGCTAATTTTAGGCAGTGCCCTGACTTGAGTTCAGCTAGAAGTAGCAGTAATAGTAGTAGTAGTAGTTATTGTAGGAGTCGTAGCAGTAGTAGTAGTTGTTGTGGTAGGAGTAGTAGCAGTAGTAGTAGTAGTTGTTGTGGTAGGAGTCGTAGCAGTAGAAGTAGTAGTAGTAGTGGCGCTGCGGTGGCGGTGGCGGCGGCGGCGGCGGCGGCGGCAACAGCAGGCGCAGTGTGTGTGTGGGTGTGCGTGTGTGTGTGTGCATGTGTGTGTGTGTGTGTGTATGTGTGTGTGTGCTTGTGCATGTGTGTGTGTGTGTGTGTGTGTGTGTGTGTGTGTGTGTGTGTGTGTGTGTTTGTGTGTGAGAGCGCGCGTGTGTGTGGTGTGTGCGTGCGTGCGTATGTGTTTTCACGTTACCGCCTCCGTGCGTAGTAATGTGTTACATCCGTCGCTGCACTAATGTGGTAAAGAATATTACGATGGATCACCACCAGGTGGCTAAACCGATTTGAATCACCTGATGTTAGAGTGAATTTTATTTGCGTTTCTGATCTACATATTTTTACAATAAGCGCACGTGTGTGTGGACGTGTGCGTGTTTGCCTCCCTTCTCTTCCATTTCCTTGTTCCATCACGCTTTTATTCCTCCCATCCCTCCTCCTTTTCCCCCTTCTCCTCCTCCTCCTCCTCCTTCTCCTTCTCCTCCTCCTCCTCCTCATCCTCCTTTTCCTCCCCCTCCTCATCCTCCTTCTCCTCATTTTCCTTCTCCTCGTCGTCCTCTTCCTCCTCCTTCTTCTCTTCTTCTTCCTCCTCCTCATCCTCCTCCTCCTCCTCCTTCTTTTTCCTCCCCTCCTCGTCCTGCTCCCCTGTTCCCTCATGGGTGTCTACTGAATTCAAGAGAATGACCCATTCCCCAAGTTGTCTGTATTGTTACGTCATTACATACTGTATTGTTACGTCATTACATGCTGTATTGTTACGTCATTACATGCTGTATTGTTACGTCATTACATGCTGTATGTTCGTCTTATGTTACGTTATATTACGTTACGTATCGTCGTTACGTGTCCATGCGACGCATGAGCTATGTGAGTGCCGTGACAGTGTCAGAAGGAATCGACTGCAGAGATGAGACATGAGAAGCAACACGACATCGTACGATATAAACATACGTTTAATGATACATTATAAAATGCAAGCATGCAGGGTATGGAGGAACACACTACGAACGCACGCACGCACGCACGCACGCACGCACGCACGCACGCACGCACGCACGCACGCACGCACG